ATTTTTTTACTATATTCAAAGGCTAAATATTGGTTTGTAAACACATTATTGCAAAATCAATTCTGATTAATGAGCACTTGCGAGGCAATATGGCCGCTCGTAAACGACCCGCTTTGAGCAATCTATATAACTATATATGTATCATTGACCCTGTCAATGATAACAGACTCACAGGGTTGCCATATCTAAATATCAGTTCTCACTTGTCAGCAGTTTGACAGGTCGTTGGATTGCCTAATAGATACATAAACAAAAAGGTAGGACTATATCGTATTTGGAACGTCACATTTGGTTCCTTAATATGATTTTTTTTTGAGCGTTATAATAAAATCTACAAGAAGTAAAAAGACTTTATTGAGAATAGCAGGAATGTTACATCTGGTTTGTTATAAAGTATATAATTTTTAGGAACTTCCAGCAAAGTTGAAAAACGTAACAATAATATCACTGGAGCGTCTAGATTGTTTCATCACAGAAGTAAACGTTTCTATGCTGGGCATAAGCGGTTAAGTGTCCGTTCCATAGATGAAAACAAGAGAATGAACAAACGTTACAATATTACAATGTGATGTAGAGTTTTCATTAAATAAACGGTTGGTTAGGTTAGAACAAAATTGCTCATTGACCAATTTTGGATCAGAAATATTATAGTCAACATCACTTAAGGAATGATTTTCCAAAAAAAAAACATTACCCAATTGTTTATGTGACATTCATCCTCAAGCGAGATACTTGCCTTCCAGTTAAGATGAACAATTGCCCGCTACCACAAAAGAAGATGAAATACTTTAGAATCCGTTTAGACAAGCGACTAACCCAAGATTAAAACGTGGCCTAATTTAAAGAAAAATGTACGGACTGATGTTCCGCTCATTCCAACTATATTTTACGAACAAAATACTGCTATATAAAACTATAATAAAACAATAATCAAACAACAATAAAACCATAATAATGCCATAATAAAAACATAATAAAACTGCAATAAAACTGCAATGAAACTACAACTAAACTATAACAAAACCATAATGAAACCAAAATAAAACCATATTAAAACCATAATAAAACTATAATAAAACCATAATAAAATCATAATAAAATCATAATAAAATCATAAAAAAATCATAATAAAATCATAATAAAATCATAATAAAATCATAATAAAATCATAATAAAATCATAATAAAATCATAATAAAATCATAATAAAATCATAATAAAATCATAATAAAACCATAATAAAACCATAATAAAACCATAATAAAACCATAATAAAACCATAATAAAACCATAATAAAACCAAAATAAAACCATAATAAAACCATAATAAAACCATAATAAAACCATAATAAAACCGTAATAAAACTGTGGTCATATGGAATACAATTCTGGGATATGTAAGTAACGTAAATGTCATGAAAGTAAAGCGTCTCCCATCCAAACTACTCAGATCAGCTTCAAAGCTCCTTGGTATAATCCTGGATATAGTCTTTAAGGTATGTACCAAATTAGCTGAGAGTTATCAATACCGGTTGAGTATTGTTCACTCAAATAATCAAGGTCAGCCAACGAAAAGGCTGCCCATTGTACCTATCTAGCAAACGATATTGTTATGTTATTAGTACTTGAGTGTGTTAAATGTAATCTGTGACCTATAAGAAGGAAGTAATTTGTGTTATCGCATTAATATCTAGGAGCGGTATTACTGGTTGCCACCTCTCTATGTCATCTTTCATGAGTATTTGCCTTGGATGTTAATAAAAAAATCAACTAGTTAAAAAAAGATTACCTAATTACATATTGAAAATACAAGAAATAATTAAAGTAAAGGCACTAAGTGTTAAAACATGGTTTTTATGAATAATGGCCTCAAAATGTTCTATATGCCATCACCAATGTTTCTTCAAAGGTTATAGATTCCAAATGCTATATTAAAATTTTAAAAGTAAATTTCAGATGACGCCGGGTGTTATGACTAGGATCTGTATCTGTAACGTGTGGAGGTTGGGTTACCCCACGGAACTGGCGCCTCCTCCTAAATTGATAGGCACCTCCTAGTTCGTGAGTCAGCCTACAGATTTAATGTAGTTGACAACGTCGCCAAAAGGTGCTTTTCTTATAACGGCCGGTGTTAGCCGATACTCGCTGAACTCAAATCTTCTAATGAATGTAAGCGTTGGAAAATCGTAGAAGATATGCTAGATGGTCTCATCTTCTTATTTGCACTGTAGTGACTTATATGCACTACATATCTTCTTCATACTTGGATTGCGTCACTTGCGTCACACGCGTCAAACACCCGTTATCTCTTGATAAACTTTTATTTTATGGCAGTTCTATAAAGACAAAAGATGGAGATCATCACCTCGTTGCTAGGAATCAAATATTTTGTTATTATTCCGATTCGGGTTTTTAACACGTCGTTGTCGCAGTGAAACCTCCTATGTACATTTCATCAAAATTTTCAGTAGATATAAAAACGTAACAATTTTGTTCTGATGCCTTATAAGTATTACGCCCAAGGGAGGTCTAAAATCACAATATTTTAAAAGAAAATTACATGAGAGGTTTCGCTAAACTGTACAGAATGTTAGTTTCTATGAACTGGTACAAAAATCTAAAAATGTGATAAAATATCACATAGGAGGTTTCACCGCGGCAACGACGTTATATTAGCTTCACCTGTATCTATGTATGTATGTTTGTAACTCTCCTTTGGACTCAAGTGGCTTATTACTGTTAGTATATCCCAATAAGTCAAGTTCGTTCGTGGCCGAGCGGTCCAACGCGCGGGTTTTCGATTGCCAGACTCACCGATCGTGGGTTCTAATCCCCACGGTTGAATAAAAACAATTTTTTTTTTTAATAATTAATCGAACTAAAAAGTAAAAAATAAATATAGTTCAAAAAAACTAAAAAACACGCTTTTTTATAATACATCGAACTAAAAAGTGAAAAATAAATATAGTTTTAAAAAACTAAAAAACACGCTTTTAGAGCATATCAAACTAAAAAGTTAAAAATAATTTTTCAAATAAGCTTAAAACCATAATAAATGGAAAATACTAGTATTATTGTGAAAAAAGCGTGGGGCGCTTTGTCCATATTTCTCGTACATCGATTATAATAATATACATCCTCCAATTAATTATTTCTTTATTTATGATAGGATTAAATTATAATTGAAGACCCACAATGGTGGCCCTTGTAGAATTCGAATTAGACTTCTGAGGAATACAAAATAAATATTTAGTTGCTTTCAAAATAAATTGTACACATGTAAAACGGTAGTCTGTCTTCTTGGTGTCTTCTTAATTTTATTTTATCTCCCTGATGTTCCTTTTTTCTACCGTCTACCTATCAACGGTCGTCAACGCTCAACGGATCAGGATGCACCTCAAAGGACATCGACTATGATATACTTTCTTGAGGCTTAAACATAATTATGAGATCATTCCCGACATTGACCCTTTAATAACCTCAAATAAAATCGACCTAAAAGTCTTAAACTGAAATGACATGTAAGTCAAAACTAAAGATAAGATTAGGTGGGGATTTCGATGTCGCCACAGCACCAACTGAAGAGTGCGGATTTTGACAGCCCCATGATATGGCAATGACCAGTCAAAATGTTTGTGATCAGGCGCGGCTTCTGTGTAGTCAATACTTGATTGTTTGCTGTAGTGTTGTCAGGATAACTTAAAATCTCGCTGGCAACTCCGCAGATTCTTGTTTCGTCTTATCTTTCCTTGAATTTCACAACGGAATATTCTTAAATTAGGTCTGTCACTACCAATGTTGTCAGGCCAATAGGCCCAAAAAGTATTTGGTTGGTTGCCTTCTTGGCTAGTGACTTTTGATCCATCTTAAGATAAGCATATTGTTGATGGACACTTCGGCCAAAGCTTCGTGACATTTTAGTTCTAACCCTGAGTAAATTCGTGGTCTGTCGAGGGTGAGTGGTGCTTGTCTGCTCTCTGTATGGATGGGCATGCATAGCTGCTCATTTTATATTTAGTTTTAAGGATCTGGAGTTTATTCCACATCCTGAACCTTGTTTTGTTTGAAAACTCTAATGACAGTAAGATCAGTAATGATACTGATTGCTTGTTCTGTGGGGATTATTTTCCTAAGAGAAAAAGCAGGAATCAAGTACACAAGTTCTCTACTCTAGGCACACAAGGCTTGTGTTGGGTGGGAGGTAGAGTTCATTTGGGATATTTGTAAATCAAATAATAAAAGGCAATAGCTAAAAAAATATTGTTTTTTATATCGAGCCATTTGATACGGTTGCGGGAAAATTATGTTGCCTTTTTAAGTAAATGTAATAAAGTTGAACTAATTTTTTTGAATACTTACCTATAACTAATTAACAAAGCCAAAAAAATGACATTTTATTTGTTTTTTTTTTTAAATATTTTCTTATCGAAAACAATTATTTTTCCTAAGCGTGGCCACTTTGCCCAACCTTCCCCTACATGTGGTGTTTCATGCCTAATGTATCCATTGTTCTGTTGCACATTCTTTGCTAAATTACATTTTACGGAATTGGACTCAACATATTTATTTTTAGATCCGTTATTTACCTGTTACTGTGCCAAAAGCTCAAAATTCAATATATTTTTTGTAGCAATCACTAATAATTATATTCATGCGTCTGCCATATTCTGAAACCGCCCTGTATTTGACTACACGTTATGTGTATTAATCTCATTCACAAATTTTCAAAACCCCACAATCTCTGAAATTGCCAATTGCATTAATAATCCGGACCTGTATTCCAACATACTTGAATTGTTTTAAAGAGAGGTATACAAAACATTTTGAACCGTATTTATCGTATACATAAAATCTATATTCCGTGACTAACACCGTCAGTTTTGTCTCTTTATAACATCGCGATTCGCGAAATAACATGCGTGGAGATTCCTGTGTTTAGGTCTCCAACAGGAAAACGATTCTACGTAGTTGACTACTCCAATAGTGAATACCGTTTTGTATCTCTAATATCAAAAATATATGTGGCCGACTAGATAGAATCGAGCAGCACTGAATTTTATTAGGAATCCTAAAAATTATCAACATCACGAGAATTTCTTCCTGTTCCTTTAGTTGACGTTCAGCTGTTTTTAGGGATAGTGTCACTTCATTTTATTGACGTGGTTTTTGAAAAAAGGATTTTAAGAACCGTGAGGGAAAGCTGATACTTGGGTGAGTTTTAAGGCTTTTCTTGTCTAGAGGATCAAGTTTTAAGTCATAGTTTTTTTATATTTGTTTACTAGTTACTTTTTGCTGTTTGTTTTTTGGTGTTGCGTGTTTTTAAGAATATTTTGGTGAAAAGTTTACAGGTTGTTTGTTTTCAGTTGTAATTTTATTCACCCTCGTTCTAGTTTTTATACAAAAACAATTTATTTGTAGTTAAAAAAACGATTTAAATGTATATTTACAGTTGTTGTTCCTTATCAAAAACTGTAATTTATGAATTGAATTTATATGGTTTAAAGACGGTTTTGGTTTTGATTTTATTTATTTACTTATTCGATTATACAGAGCGTAACAAAAAGATGTACAGTAAATTTAACGACAGTTTCTGGGATCGAAAATAAGCGGAATCATGCATTTTTTATATAAGCAAATTAGCTAAATCAGGGATTACCAAAGTGAGGCCCGCGGGCCATTTGCGGCCCGCGAACAATTTCTTTGTCAACTAAAAATGTATTGCTAAATTTAAACATAAAAAGGAAATCAGGTTATCTTTGAAACTTTATTAACTACAAAAATTGAGAGTCAGCAAAAATGAAAAAAGACCAGTGGAATATCTAGATTATTAACATTATAATACATCAACCAATGACAATCATCTTTTATTTCGACAAACGCCAATCAAAATAAACTGTATCTGAAAACACTGTATGCTCTAGTGTTTTCATTCAATCACGATTGGATTTAAAAAATTCAATTCATTTATTACCAAAGTAACGTATTAATGGTTTATACGAAACGTCAATATTAAGTATGTTAAAAAGGTGACAAAAAATGAAAAAAATGGACAAAAAAAAACTATAACTAACTACAGTTTTTTTACAATGTGCGGCCCCGCCAACCCACTCTTTTTTTAATAATTAGGAAGTTCGGCCCCAGTACCAAAAAGTTTGGAAACCTCTGGCTTCAATCGACCTCAGTTGTTACACCCTATATACAGGGTGGACCACCGGTAACTACTCGGTCTGTAGAGTCAAAATTATATGATTTTTAAAAAATCTGTTTTCACATTAAGAGGTATACCTATCAGGTATGAAAACAATTTAAAAATAATTTCAATTATACAGGGTTCTCCAAAGTTAGTTTTTTTTAAATGAAACATCCTGTATTTTATTTTATATTTGAATTGCCATCGATTTTCCCGTTATAACTATACCAAATAGTATGAGATTATACAGGGTAATTCAACACGCTATAACCAGTTTTATATAAAAATCGTATTGATTTCAATGATCTGTATAGTGCAAAAGAAACAATAATTGAAAACCAATTTTTTGCAGTAAAAGGTTTTCGATATTAGTCAACATTTTTGCCGATGCAAACAAATCTGTACAGGGTGAGTCAAAGCCAAGCGCGTAGCTAGGTATGTTTTGTTCCCACATTATTGGTGAATGCGCAGCGTGTTATCTTAGAGTATGCAACATCTAGAGATCATATGTGTATTTTCAGAAAAAAAAGAGAGTTTTATAATGAAGTTTTAATTTTTTATATATTTATACAGGGCGTTTCAGAATAAAGTACCGTAATTTTGGGGATTTGTAGATCTTAATCAATTATAAAGAAAAGCTAAATATAATTTTCCTATAAATGTCCCAGTTTTCATTCAACTGGGTGATAAAGTGAATTTCATAAATACATAGTTTCTAAATATCTTCCCTTAAAGAAAAGACTTTGACTTAAAAATATGTATATGATAAGTAATCATTATTATTAGTTAACACACTATTTCGACAAATTACCATAACACATTGGTGTAGAATGAAGGGCTAAAGAAACAATTTTATTCAAAACTTTTTGAACACCCTATATTTCATAAAATTTAAGATTAATAAATATTTCTCATGCCATTTGTCACAAAAAAGGGACTTCTGATGGATCTTTGTAGACCTTTCCATTTCCGAGGTGATAGAACTGATTTATTTTATATATCTTAAATATGGCTAATTTTAAGTTCAATTTACTCAATTTTGTCAAATGCAAAACACTATACAGTGAGCATCATAAGTCTTACCCCCCCTAACTAACTCGTTACTGGAGTCTTGTTAGGAAAATCGCCGAGACAGGTCGATTTTTGATTTCTACAATGTACATTCTTGTATGATTAGTTTACCCTTAATTTCATCCCTTACTGGAGGGGAGCAACCCTTTCGAAAAATTTAAATGGCATGGGGTACTGAGTGATAGCTCATTTGAAAGGGGGTTTTATTCTCTATTCAACCGTGCAAAAATTTGCTTCATTACGTGTTGATTTATTAATGTTTAAAAATAACAAAACCTCACAAAATAGGAAAGCAACTAAACTAATAGTGACCTTCTAATGGCAAAAAGTCTTACTTCACGTCTGAACCAAAACCAAAATCATGCAGGGCCGAATTTTAATTCTAATGATGAGTGCGCTACGTTAATTTCCGTTATTCTGAAACAACAATTAGTCGAGAATTAATTAAGCAAATTTCAAAATTTTTTACACAGTTGAATAGAGAATAAAACCCTCTTTCAAATGAGCTATCACTCACCACCCCATGCCATTTAAATTTTTCGAAAGGGTTGCTCCCCTCCAGTAAGGGATGAAATTAAGGGTAAACTATTCATACAAAAATGTACATTGTAGAAATCAAAAATCGATGTGTCTCGGCGATTTTCGTAACAAGATTCCAGAAACAAGTTAGATGGGGGGGGGTAAGACTTATGGTGCTCACTGTATATTATTTTCGCATAAAATTCCTTATAAATTTACCTATTCAACGATACCAACATGTCCCAATAGTGCGTAATTGATCGATAGCTGTTTTATTATTGGAAATAGGAAAAACAAATTAATATAAAAGTTGTATGACCATGTTCAATAAATGTTCTTAAATATACAGGGTAGTCCATAAACGAGGGGTTGACGCAACTTATACATTTTTATATTTAATTGTTTTCACATAGTCAAACAACTTTAATAGACTTAATTTATTTGCTATGTTGTATATAGGGTGTTTCAATATAAGGGGTAACTATTTTCTCATTTTATAAAATGAAATACCCTATATGTCATATCACCAATTAATTAATACAGGGTATTCCATTTAAAAATTGAGAAAATCGTAAGCTCACGTTTTGACACACCCTATATACAACATAGCAAATGAATGACGTCAATTAAAATTGTTTGACGATGTAAAAACAATCAAATATATATTACTACCTGCAGGGTGTTTTGCTTTAAAAAAATATAGATTTGGTCAGCACCTCGTTTATGGACCACCCTGTATATTTAAGAATATTTGTAACAACTTTTATAATAAACATTTCTTCGTATTTCTAATAATAAAACAGCTGTCTATGAATTATGCACTGATGGGACACCCTGTATATGTGTTATTGACTAACACATTGTAATTGTTACACAGGCAAATTTATAGGGAATTTTATACCAAGATAATATACAGTGCGTTGCGTTTGAAAAAATTGAGTAAATTGAACTTAAAATTAGCCCTATTTAAGACATGTTTCAAATCACTCTGTATAGAATAAACCAGTTGTATCACTTTTATTTATTAGCTTAGTGTTTTATAAGTCTGTGAATTAAACAATTTTAAAATTAATATAAACCTACCTAAATTATGATAATTTAATTTGGGGTCTGCATCATTCTCTAATTTAAAAAAAATAATTGTTTGGCAACCCTGTAATATTTTTTAAAAACATTCTAGTGTTAAATACAGTATTCCCATTCTAAAAATAAAATGTAGGGTGTTCTATTTAAAAAACGTACAGTTTTATTGGTCAGGTAAAAACGAAACACCCTGTATATCCAAAAATATTTTTAAAATATGTATTTTTCAAATCCATATAACTTTTATTAAAACTTTTTGCTTGTCAGTAACACAAATTTAAATATTGAACAATTACCCACTAATGGGATCCTGTATATAAATTTTAATTTTGAATTTGCAGAAATATTATTATTTTAGATGACAATGTTTGAGAAACTCTTTGTTTTATTGTATTTATTTCATCTCTTTATTTTTGTTTAATATAACGTTTAAAAGAATATTGATGTTGACTATAGCTTGGGGGTAGCGTAATTACCCCCATTACCCCCCCCCCTTATCTACGCCCTTGGTCAAAACTCAAATACATCATTGTCTCAGTTTGTTTAAAGCGACCACCCTGTATTTTATATCATCATTCAAACGTACCTTAATTAAAGTTTAATTTGAGTTAGACATTCCCTATACCTAAAGTTAATAATTTTAGGAGATTTTTAAATTTAAATAAGAAAAACATAATTCACAAAATACTCTAATTTTAACTGGTCACTGGTTAATAGGAAATATACCGTTTGCTAATGGGTAATTAGAATTTATTGAACTATAATTTATTATCTACTTAATACGTTTTTGACAATACCTAATGCGACTTTTACATTCAGTAAAAAAATAAATAAAAATAGTAACCGAAAACTTCACATAATACCTACTTTGTTAATTAAGTGTTATTTTAAAAGATTTTATTTAAAAAAAAAAATTATCTAAGTAGCCTCCAATAATATTTATGAAGGTCTTAAGGTGGTTTTCAAAGGTCCAACTCACATTTCTAAGCATGTTTAAAGTAACACTCGAAATACTTCTCTTATTCACGATTAAAGGTCATATGGCTAAACTTTTTTAAAAATAAATATTGCAACACTAATGACGTTAGTAATAACGAAGTATCAGTATTGAGGTTTTAAAGTCAATTTAAAAATATAATAAATAAATAAAATAAATAAATATAATAGAGTGAGTCTAGAATTGGTTGCTATTGGTATTTATTTTTAACTGAATGTTAGTCCTATTTAAAATTGTCAAAAACCTTTTTAGTCGATAGTAAATTACAGCTGGTTAAATTCTAATTACTAATTAAGAAACAGTCTATTTCCTGTTAACCAGTGGCCAGTTAAAATTAAATTATTTTGTGAT